GGGGGGGTGGGGAAATTTGTGGGATTGAAAGTCCACAGATCTTAAAGTTGCTGAGATTGAGAAACACTGATCTACTGTATTGGTGTATATCGATCTATCTCTGCATGTTTGTCAAGTCAACAAATATATTCATGTGTGCACACAACTGCATCCATGCATCCATGAGCCTGTGTAAAGTGATCTAGACAGTAAGATACAGACACAAATGCTATAACACGGACTCATGAATTGCACAGTTTTACCATTACTCAAAGTCAGTGCTAATATTGGGAACTGGAATCAGACATTCTATGTGACTTTTCTTTTTGAAAATTGCAGAATTACATTTAAGCCAGGGTTAGGAAGTGGGTAGTGAGGTTTTTCCTGTCCAAGATGCTTATTGTGTGTGGTATGCAGCAGAGTGCGAAAAAGGCAAGCCAAGCTGGATACTTTTATAACAACTTTTTGTGGAAGGGTTATGTTTAACTTGAACTGTTGTGATATACTTAAACACAGTAAACTCGGTTGCACTAAGCAGCTTGCTTTTAGCATCCCAGCAAGGTGATTTAAAATCACTAGATATGTGGTAACTTGATTGATTAGTTTATTTAGGCAATAGTGGAGGAAAATTTGAATTTATTTTCTAGTCTAACAAGGGGTTGCAGTTGCACATTGAACAAATAATATTCAAAAAATGCAATTAACTCTGCAACCAGCTGCCCGAGAAGGCCAATTTAGCTGCAAAAGTAATTGTAAACCCAGCATGTATGGAGCTGCGCACATTTCTTCCTATAGGCTAGCATTCATGGAACTAAGATATTCCTTGATAAAATAAAAATTACTGCTTGTATCAATATTATTGATCGAGTTTATGACTCACTCCTTTGGATGTTAGTCTAGCATTGCATATTCTACCAATGCTGCTGTTCTGTGCACTTCTTAAAGGACCTCGCGTTGAATATGGATTTTGATGGGAGAAGAACATCTTCCTGGCTCTTTCATTTCCCCCTGCCCTGTGCCATGCTTTGAGTGGCTAGAGCAAGGCTCCTCTTGTCTGGAAGCATCCTGGCTCCCTCCCTCTTAACCTGAAGTGAGGCTAGCAAATCACTTTCTACATTGGCCTGACTGCCAAAAGAGACAGAGGGCAGGGAAGAGAAAGGCGAGGCAGGTTAAAACCCTTTAAAAGAAAAAGCAGGCACAAGAACTCCCTTCGCGCCTCTCACTGTCCCATGCATGCCCTGCACGAAACAAGTTATCGTAGCAGAAATGCCTGGTGGGAAACGCGTCACCCACGCGAAGTGGGAGCGGGTCGAAGAGAAGGGCCCCGGCGCAGCACTCACCTGGGAAGCCTGAAGCTCCTGACCCGAGGCTAGGCACAAGAAGAGGACGAGGCTGCTGAGGCTGTAGCGCGGTCCAGAAATCATGGCTGTGCGGGGCGAGTATTGCGCTGCCCGGGCAAAGCTGGAGTGAGCGCCTCCTCCGCGCGAGCTGCCGCTTGCCAGCCTGCAGACGCCCGCAGCGGCGGAGGCTGACGAGAGGAGAGCGGCAGCAGGCGCAGGAGCGACAGCTCTGGCGCGCGGCAGCTTTCTCGAGCGAGAAGCGCCCCGCTCCTCGGTTTCCGCCGCTCCTCGGAGACGCCGGCCTTGGCTGCAGAACGGATCCCTCGGGGGGGAGGGAGTTGTTCTCGCTCCCCATCTTCTAAAAGAATACCTG